TAGCTCTATCCCGGAAGTACCGTGTTTTAGCTTTTACACATGGTTTTAGATCACCAACGTCATTTATAGTGTTACTGTATTTATTTCTGTTGCTTGTATTTAAAAGTAAAGTCTTGTTTATGTATCTTATCTTTGTTGATTTTTTTAATAACATTTTTTTTTAAAGGTGAGCAACAAAAATTTAATACACGAATAAAGGTTCTCTTGACTTATCTTTATTCTTTAAAATTGTGTAGTAGAGCCTCATGTTAATTGAATAATGATCAATGTAGGCCTGGATGAGTAAGTATGAGTTTTATTGTGTGTTTTTTTAATGTATATCTGCAGCTGATTTATAAAAAAATAAGGGGAAGAAGAATTATTTCATTATTGTTTTATTACTTTGAAACTCATAGCGTGGTGCTCGTCTCACCGTCATAGCCTGCAGAGCGGCTGGATACGGCCTTGCGCTCCCTGAAGGTTGAAGGGGAGAGTCCTCCGCTGGAGCTGGTGGTCTGGGTCCTCCTGCCTCCCCCATTGGAGCTGCTGGACCTCACCTTGGAGACAGAGCTGGAGCTGACCATGTAGCTGCTGCTGCTCCCTCCTCCTCCTCCTCCTCCTCCTCCACCTCCTCCTCCTCCGCTGCTGCTGCCATAGCCCTCCACGTCCAAGAAGCCCCCTGTACCCTCTCCTCCCCCTGACGAGTCCCCGCTCAGGTAGACCCCCGAGGATGAGGCGTAGGTGCTGCTGCTGACGCCCACAGAGGCTGCAAGGACCACACACACATGCCCTCAATGATGTATACAGACTAATTATTGATTAGGATTAAATCAGAATAATTGAGTTTTAAAAAAAGGATTAAACACCACTGCGATAGAATATAGTAGGGCTGCATCTATAATATGTTAATAATCAATTATGACAAGGCACATTTGATACACAAAGCAATGATAGAAACTTACAATCACAAAAGACATTATAAAGATAAATAATCACAGTACATTAAAAAGAGTAAAGATACAATCCTTCTGTTGTATGCACAGCTAAAAATTGAGAGGAGAAGCTTGTCTCACAGATTCAGGAAGGCTGTTCCAGACTTTAGCTGAATGAATGTGAGCATCCATTAATCCTTTGATTCGTCAATTATTTGTACAGAATACAGATAGTTTTGACTTATCTAAATTTGACTTAGACAAAAGTTTCCAGACAAAACTATTTCATTTAATTGAGGCGTTCTTATTGTTTGTAATCACTGCTGTTTGAGTCTAAAAATGTTGGAGTCTGTAAATAGATCAGTTAACCATAAATCATAATAGTTCTTGATAAATGGAAAAACATGATTAGTTGCGATTAGTTTTTACAGGTCTAGGATATAGGCACAAGGAAATAGCTCTTGTGTGGTCGAAACGCGGAGCATCCCTGCACATTAAAGGATTTTTATTTAAACGTCAAGATTCTCTGATTTTTCCTCATCTCATGTTCTAGTGGTGATTTACACCTTCAACAATATTAACCTTGTATTACAATCCCAGGTGTTCGACAGGGCACAGGTTTGGGAGAATACTTTGTTCTGCATGTTGTTGTTGTTCATTAGAAAAGTCTAAAAACACGAGTGGAATGTTCTCTATGTTTCTTCACTAATAGTTTCAAGATTCAATGTATTTGCCATTTGCAGATTAAAACCACATTGGAGTATTACGAGTCCATTGGGCCGCTGTAAGTGCCACAACTCTCTCTTTCCTTTGAGAAAGTGACTTGGAAGTAATGTAGAGAACGACACAAGACGTGGGAACAGATGAAAAATATGGGGCACAACCGTCATGATAATAATAATACATCCGCAAAGACGCATTACACGGCTCTATCCACTCACTTCATACACAGTGGTGATAAACTATTACTGTAGAGGTCTCTCATCACAGTACTAACTAGGCACGGTCCTGCTTAGCATCAAGGGTCTGACAAGATCTGGCTTTCACATGCAGATTGCTCCACTTTTTTTTTTTGCCAATAACTATAATGAACGATTCAAATAAAGTAACTGTAATCCTTATAGCCCCAAGGTGAATAGAGAACTCACAATTAGTATTTAGATAAGTATTTCTGTACTAGAAATGAAACCTCCGGAGTGCTGTGTCCTGATTTAACCTGAGACTGTGGTTCATTAGTGAAAACTGCAGGGTGTAGATTTTGGACGCTCTTTTTGCTGACAAGGTAAATATTTATGTTCCACGCCCCGCTTTATCTGTGTCTTTGAAATCCAGCAAAGATCCAGTGTAACGGGATGGTATAGCTTTGCTTGGAATGCCCCACAATAGCACTTTAAACCAGAGACAATGATGGTTACAGGTCAGATCTCTGGAGAGGCGAGCGTGCTCACAGTAATGATGCATGCTTTGACCTTACGTTTACACTTTTTGTCACTGCACTAAAAACAAGAGATTAAGTGGTATTTATAATGACTGAAGTACACAAACAAGTATGCTTTTATCTTGCATTTTTCTTTCCGAATATTTGCTTGTTTCAGGCTTATTATAGATATTTTGTTCTGGTTCCATCAGCAAATCCTACTGTAGTTTGGCACCGCCGAGGGGCCAGGGGAGGGGCCAAAGGGCGATGCTCCATCTCCCCCATTGTCAAACTACTCCCTTAGCAACACCATTTTTGCCCATTTTCTTTTTAATACACATTTCTAAAGGGAATTATAATGTCTTTCCAAATAATGTCAAAATGGCCTTTGATCAAACTAAAATAGTGTATATAGTAAATCTTATAGCATTACAACTGCTACTTCATGCACTTATGACCTGATTTTAGTATTATTTTTTGCAGTGTTGGTTAATTTATATAAACCACACAACAAAAAAACACATGAAAACATTTCTTCTGTTTTGCTTTTTACGGCTAAATTTTTGTTGACTACGCGTTCAAAGTTTTAAGCAGCCAAAACCTTTACAGTCCTGCGTAAAAGAGTGATTCAGGCTCTTAAACATCCACAGTGGAAAGTCTCTCACATGAAGAGAAGTAGGTTCCACCGCTGCTGTGGCCAAAGACATTCTTCTCCAGGCCCAGGCCGCCTCCACCGCTGGACATAATTCTGTGATTTGATCCTCCTGTTCCCTCTAGCAACCGGAGGACACACAAACATAACAAAAGACAAGCTGTTAGTCATCGGGAGACTTCCTGCAAAAGCACGCGGCTATAATTATGCCATTACTGAGGGGTTTTCTCTGTTTACGATCACAAAATATTAAGATGTATGGATATGGAAGCCCGTTTCCGCCATGTAAAAAAAAAAAAAAAGCCTACAGAAAGTCAAAATTTTGACTTTAAAAGTCAAAATTTCGACTTTAAAAGTCAAAATTTCGACTTTAAAAGTCAAAATTATGAGTTTTCAACTGCGCATGTGCAGTTGAACACTCGTATGTGTTGATGTCTGGAATGGTCTCTGGACGTCCTTCACCTGCAGATTATGTGAAGATATTGCTGACAGCGACCACTGCATCCTTGAAGTAGCCAGAAATAATGTTGTTTGATTGATTCTGTAAAACGTTCCTGTTTAAGCCCCAGACCGCGGTCGTAGGAGGCAGGGAGGAGCTGTCTTTTTATTTATTTATGTTAAATTCAATTTACATATATACAACATTTAAATCAAACGACTTCTTATTTCGACATAGTAACAAATAATGTGAGCAATACGTTTTTATAATAAATCAAAGGAAAATGAGCCATCAAGACATTCCAATCCAATCTGCTGTAGACCACTCTGACCAGACGACGGCGCTGAGAGGGGTCCACACGGAGCGAGTATTTCCACGGCTGAAAGGATGCGCTTTCTACGTGTTGAGTACGGGGTTTTATTCATGCATCTATAATGGGTTTATCTATTTCTAACCCTTTTCAAAGACCCTCACTGTTATCTGCTGAGTTATTTCTCCGGATTGTTGCTAAAAGAGTCGTGGGCTTTATTTTGTCACAATAAAATAATCAGACAAGGTACTTATTCCCTGTATGTCTCTGTGTTCTTGCTCATACGCCAACAACTTTACCCCCACGCTCGCTCCATCAGCTCACCCCCGCGTGCACGCAAACACGTCACATACTCTTCAATGCACTGATCGCAATTCCAAAAGGGTAATAATGTCAGTGCCCGTGACTGTGGTTCTCCTGCCTCTGTCTGTGGTTTACCTGCCTCTGTCTGTGGTTCACCTGCCTCTGTCTGTGGTTCTCCTGCCTCTGTCTGTGGTTCTCCTGCCTCTGTCTGCGGACCTCCCTCACTGTCCTGTAATCGCGAACGGTCTCTCTGTCAGTCACAATATTATTCACTAGCCTGGAAAAATCCAGACTCACCGCTGGATAAAAAAATACAGAGGGGAATCATTCTGGTCTCACCAGGCTAATTATTCACTGCATTTCTGGTGCATCCATCGATAGCCGTGATACTGACCAGATGTCACCAGTTGATGCTCAATGACTTTGAACAGCCACATGTGTTTTATTATTAATCTTCCACAGTCCGTTTAGGATAAACTAAATAGAGGCTTCTGAAGCGGATTCTAATCATAAACGGAGAGACCGTTTGCATTTTAACGCGATTACTACCACAACATTATTGCTGCTACTTCATGGATGTGGTCACTGTCTGTAGGCAAAATCTTCACATAATCTGCAGGTAGAGGATGACCCATGGTCATAGATCTATAACAGGGATGACCAGAGACCGTTCCAGACAACAACACATACGAGTTTTCAACTGCACATGCGCAGTTGAAAACTCGTAATTTTGACTTTTAAAGTCGAAATTTTGACTTTTAAAGTCGAAATTTTGACTTTTAAAAGTCAAAATTTTGACTTTCTGTAGGCTTTTTTTTTTTTTTTACATGGCGGAAACGGGCTTCCATAAAGATGTGAGAGGAGAATGTTATGATAAAAAAAGAATGAAAAAAGGGAGGCTTACTTGGAGGGAGAGAAGCCAGTCTGGAGGAAGATGAGACAGATTCGGACACAACTGTGCGGAAATAAGAACATCGATTAGTTTTACACCAGTAGTGGATGAAGTACTCGAGTTAAAGTACTTGTATGAGACCCACAGTGAGTATAGTGTACATAACGCAGTGCAGTCAAATGTATTGCTCACATGTTTGTAGTAGTATTTAATAAGTATTTTCTATAGTTATTATGTAGTAAAACTATCCATTTTGAACAATAAAACCTGCGCTCTTTTTAATGTACTGGTAAAAATGTATTTATGTTTTTTTTTTCTTTTCATGTTTTTAAAGTAAACTTCAATGGGCTATATTCACGGGGAGGCGTGATGTCATTTCCTGTTAACAAAGCACAGCCCTTTCACTTCCTGCCTATGCTATCCTATGGCTTTTAGGTGGGTTTTAGTGACGTTTTTTAGTAATTAGATTGATACAGTCAGCTTTGAGACTGACCCAAAAGTGTCGCTGTGCTTTCTCTCTGAGGTAGAGCTTTGACTGTGGCTACTCAGAGCGATTTGTAAACTTTATAAAAACACAATGACAGCACAATCAAAGAGCACTGCTGTGTCCCAAAAATGCCAAGTCTCCTCACAGTTTAATTCCCGTTTGAGCATTATTTGGGAAACTCATGTAAACCACTGCTGAACTCCAGTGAAACTCAAGCCATATCCCGCGAACAGGAAGTGAAGTGGGGTAGTAGCTAAAACGCGGAAGTGGTGCGTGCATAGAGCCCATAACATTCTTCTCAGTTTTGGGTAGACCCGCCCATGCTCACCCCGAAGCCCCCTGATTGGACGAAATTAACTCAAATCTTGAGGCCACTCGTCATTGGTTGAACTGCTATCCTTCAGTTAATCTTACTGGGGGTAGGTATGTGTTCGGGGGGTGACTGTTTTGATTATTTTATTTTTGAAAATTACTGACTGTACATACTTGTGGTACAGCGCCCCATGGACAGAAATATAAATTCATTAAATAATAAAAAACAATTAAAGCTGCTGACATATTCTTAAATGTTTACTTGTATGTTGGAATGTTTACTCTCTTGTCTTGTTTTGAGTTGCCTTGTGTGTGAATTGTGCTATAAAAATAAACTTGCCTGCCTAGTAGATTGGTTTTGATAGGTTGATGTTTCATAAGTAACTGAAACTTGAGACCGAATATATAAAAGAATATTGCAAAATGTAATGCAATGTCCTGAAACAGAAACAACCCTAACCAAAAATTGCTGATTTTAGCTTCTTTTTTTGTTGGGACCAGTAAAAATGTTTTGTTTGCAAGAGGCATACAACACTCTCACTCGTAATTAGTCAAAATAAGATATTTTATCTTGTCCAATCAGCAAATTCTATTTAAATTCCTGTTGCATTTACTACCTTATATTCTATCAGTGTAAAATGATAAATACAACAAAACAGACACAGTGAAACTGGAATACATGCATACATTTTATAACACATTATTTGTTTAAAAATAACGGATTTCAAATGTCCTGAGACTCCAGTTATATAAATGCAGTCGAGACATTTCCAAAAGGAGTCATCTGGTCTAAGTTTAAAATTCCAGCTCAGATTTGAAAAGGCTTCAGGAGTTTGAGTGGAAACATCTCTGCGCCGAGAACAAAGTCCAGACTTTTGAAACTCACTGATGAATGTAGTATGTCTGCTCAAACCAACACTTGTACTATTTCAACAGCAACAGCAAAATAAAATGTACTAAAGCATTTTTAGATCAGTCACAGTTCAGCTGATGTTTGTTTCTATTCTGGCCTATACAATTCTAAACACAAAGGCAGTGTCACCGCCTGTAGGACTCTGGAGAGCAGCTTTGGTGACAGACTGATCCACTCTCGCTGTGTGAAGAGGTTTCACAGGTCTATCCTCCCAGCTGCTGTCAGACTGTACAATGAGAACTGCTGAGCTTGTGCATTTCATCTCATCTGTACTTAGACTAAATTTATACAGATATATTTATACAAATTCATGTATAATTATTGCTCTTAATATGAAGCATTTACAGCTATCTAAGAAGCATTCAAGGCGACTTATCCCTGTATTTGTCTGCTTCTTGTGTGGTCTTACTCCTGTATGTGCTGCAAATTTCTCCTCTGTGGGAAATTGTATAAAATAATACTTAAAGGAGACGGGTGCTGAATGCTGTTTGAAGCGTCTGGCATAGTGTTGATTTCACAGCTAAATGCATCCGTGTTTACAGACTGCAGAATCAGTGCTCTTTCACACTGTACAGGACTCTACACGGCTCTGAAGGGATCCAGAGGAGACCCAGAGAGGAACCAGAGGAGACCCAGAGAGAGAAGCTCAGAGGGGACCCAGAGAGGAACCCGAGGAGACCCAGAGGGGATCCAGAGGAGACCCAGAGAGGAACCAGAGGAGACTCAGAGAGAGACCCACATTAGACCCAGAGAGGAACCAGAGGAGACCCAGAGAGAAGCTCAGAAGGGACCCAGAGAGGAACCAGAGGAGACCCAGAGAGGAACCAGAGAGCGACCCAGAGAGCGACCCAGAGAAAGACCCAGAGAGACCCTGAGGAGACCAGAGAGCTCAGACAGGGCCATAAGCAATAAACCACAGATGTCATTCTCACACATGTACGAGCAAGTCTGACACTGAACAAGAGTTTTAAAAGAGCCTCTGCTTTTACACTTTTGGACAGGTAGTCTGAGCACCCCTGGTTGGGAAACACTGGAGTATGGAATCATCTAGGACACTCAAAATACAGCGACACTTATGGACAATTTGGGCTATACAAGAATATATTCGATTGAATTGAATTGATGAGAATATTTGGTAAATTTAACTATGATTTTATCTTTTTCCACTTACTTTAAATAAAAAATAGAGACCTATTTTTCAAGTTCAAGAAAACCTTTTCAGTGGAGACCCAGTGATGAAACCAGTAATTATGGAATAAAATAATGGGGAAGAAACATTGATGTAACTATTTCCTCACTCTCAAAACAGAATGGTTCCACATAGTTTTCACATTCATCTGTGTGGCCTATGTCACATCTTTAGATCAGTTTTTCAAACTGAAAAAGAGAAGACCACCCTCACTCAGCCAATCAGCTCTCAGCCCAAAGCATCAAAAAATGACTCAGTGGCTCTTCCTGTGCTATGTTCTCTAATAAGATGAAGACAGCATGTTGTGGTCTGATGTGATTTACAACATGTACAGTATTTATTGAGAAAAATTAGGTACCCCAGCCTTAATTAAAGTATCTTGTTCTATTAGGTAAAGAATGAACATGGCAAAATATAGAACAGTAGGCTTTTAATATCACTAATTTTTTTAGCTCACCAAAATACTGCTTTGACCGTTTTTCCCCAAGTGCAGTTGAGTTTAGGAAATACAGAATACTGCAGTGGTTTGGCCAGTTTACAGCTTCTCATCACATTTTAAAGTGTAACAAAATATTCTGGATTTTTCCCATTTTTCACAGGAGAAAAGTGACTGAAACACAAACAGACTCATCGCACATTTATTTGAGGGTTATATTTGACATTTTGAATAAACAGTTTCACCAATACGACATCATGAACACTTATATTTAAATTATTATTATTATTATGTACGTTATACCTATTTTTAAGCTTAAATTGGAGTGTATAGAATAACTGTGTAAATCTTTGATACCAGATGTCTTCTAAAGAACCAAATAATGTAATCTGTTGAGAAGAAAATAGGAACTCTCCTAAACTACAAAAAAAAGAGTTCAGAGGTGTTTTTTTCTGCTCTATCGTCACTTTTGCTGCTCATTCAGTCCCTGTGCTACTTCACTACAATACCTCACTACAATACGAGTCACTGTCCTGGTCCCAAGCCCAGATAAATGAGAGGAGCCGCTCTGTCCGCCTCAGGGTCAGTTCAAAACATTTCAGAACATCCTCCAGAGCCTCGAGATGAAAATTAGTGAATTTCAGAGTAAATCTGTCATTTTGCAGATGGTTTAAAACAACCCTCTAATTACAGGACGTAAAACACTGAATGTCTCCGTCTTCTGAGGAAAAACAAATTATGGAATTTTCTACAGAGCACCAGAAAAAGCATTGTTTTTGCTCATAGAGTCTCTCCAAGGGCAACCTGCACAGCTTTCTGCAAACAGTGGATTTTAATGAGTTGCTATGGTAACAGGGTTTGTGTATGTTAAATCCTATGCTCTATCCTAGTTTCATATAATGTGACTTATTGTTTAGTAGTTAATTAACAGATGATTTTGGTGTTTACTTTTATATTCTCGTTTATTCATTTCATTTTTCATATTTTTTTTTCCAATCAATCCAAGATGGCGTCGTATTCAAATGAATGGTTTGTGCTCAGTGGCGCTTTGTGCCGGCACGGTCGCTGAAATATTAGCGGAACTCGCCTGGAACTCGCAAAGATCCATGGGAAACTCTCCTGTATTTGGGCATCGTCTGGTCCTCCCGCTTCTGCGCAGTGGATGATCTCCCATGATGCGTTGCGCTTTCTCGGCCGCGCTCTGACCAATCAGAGCTGCTCATCAGAGCGGGAGTTAGAGAGGGAGCCAGACGAGCAGAGTTTGTGGCAGTAAAGTGTGGATTTAAAGAAAACCGAAGGATTTAAGAAGAAAAAAAGTTCAGGATGACAAGGGACACTAAAATCCCAACAAAATCAGACCTTTATGTCATAAAAAAAAGATCACATGAATATACAGTATACATATATAGATTTTTATGTTTTGATTTTCATAACAAATCACCTTCAATAAATGAAATATACGTGCATCAAAAAATTCTTGCTAAAAGACAAGGGGCCAAAAGCCTTCTACAGAAATTAATTGTATCATTTAGAAATGAAGAGTCCCCTGGAGCTGGATCCAGGAGAGATCTATTTATTTTATGGACCTTTATAAAACCAGGAAGTCCCACTGAGATTTCAGATTCTCTTTTTCAGGGAAGTCCTGGCCCCAGAGGGGGGGGGGGGGGGGGGGGGGGGTGTTATGGGGGACTATGTACATGTTTTTAGTAGTACAAAAGAGAAACCG